AGAGACAGGGTCTCGCTATGTTGCCCAGGCTGGACTTGAACTCCTTGGCTCAAGCAATCCTTCTGCCTTGGCCTCCCAGAGTGCTAGGATTACAGGTGTGAGCCACCATGCCCAGGCCACCCGAATTTTCTCTTTATTTCTCATCTGTTGTTTAACATGTCCATTGAGGTTTTTACTTGAGTGATTATATTTACTATTTTATTTGAGTTCTGTTTAATTCCTTTCCTCATTGTGCCTCATTTTTTAAATACTCTTTTGTTCCTTAGTCATATTACAGTTTCCTTTTTAACATGTTAAATATACCTATATTTCTTTTGTGTCTGAAAATACCAATATCCGGAGTATTTTTTTTTGCTATTTGTTGTTTCTGCCTACTCCCATCATGGAGTGTTGTTGCTGTGTGTGTGTGTGTGTGTGTGTGTGTGTGTGTGTGTGTGTGCATGTTTGTTAACATTAAGTTTTATGGCATGTTCCTCTGAGAGGATTTATATATACTTCTGGTGGGCACCTAAGGATACTGCCAATAGAGGTAATTTTAAATTTTTGGCTTAGACTTTTAAAAATCATAAATGTGAATTTATGTGAAAATATGAATGTAAAAACATAAACATGGTTTCTGACCTTAAACCCATGTTATGGCCAAGCTCTATTTACTGTTGCTTAAGAGCTTTTCTCTCTTCTACCCAGAGCTGAAACCTAGATAGGCACATTTCCCTATCTCTTCCCATTGTTCACCCTCCTATTTGTTGAACAATCTTACTGAAGGTGTTGTGTTTTGGAATCTTGGGTTTAAAATCTATTTATTCACTTAAGTTAATTTCAGGTAGCATTTTTGGGTATTTTTCATGGGGAGGAATATTCAGGATATTTGTTTGCCAGTACCAATGAGCCTTAATTTCTTCATCTGTAAAATGGGGATGATAATGTAGGATCTACTTCATAACTTTTTCCTGAGGATTGAAATAATGCATGGAAAACACTTAGGTTAGTGCCTTGGGTTATTATTTATTCAAATCTCTTCCTTAGAGTAGGAGGTAAACTACTACTTCACTGCTGCTCAGGAAATTGGTATCAAGTAAATTTCTTGTTCCATAATGGAAGTTTTTGCCTAGGGTTTGTTTCTTAGATGGTTTCCCTCTGAGAATTTGCAGTCCCACAAATTGCTAGATCTAAGAAATGTCAAACCAAGTAAAACTTTTATGTATAAAAACCCACGGGGGGATAAAAGGTTGAAATCAAGTTTGATTTTGTTCATTTTGAGTCTGACTGCGTGGCCTGATACCTAGGTGCAGCTGACGAGACCATGTTGCCTTGTGAATTTTGTGAAGAGCTCTACCCAGAGGAACTGCTGATTGACCATCAGGTGTGTTGTGAATTACTTGAGGGCTTTAAGTAGGAATGTGTGCAGGCCATAGTTGGTGTTACAGGCCACATGAGGTCTTGAACAAACCATTTTAATACAATACTTGCAGTAGGAATAGCAACTGTGTTTTTTACCATGGTGTGACTGACACATGGCTATGAAAACTGATCCTTGTACCCTCTTAGAAAAAGTAATGCTCATTCCAGCAGACTTAGTGCTCTCGTGCCCGCAGACCCTCCATACACTGGTGACTAGTGAACATCTCTGCTGACTGCCTTATGATCTGGTCTCATCTCGTGCCACATTTTGATTTATTGGAGCTGTACTAATGTCTTTGCAGTTCCCTAGAAGGGTCAAGGGTCTTTTCTGCACATTACTTTCTCTGCCTGGAATGTGCATGACCTGCCCCTGCCTCCTTAATACACCCAACAACATAGACCCCTATTTATAGACTTGGTTCAGACATTCTGGAAACCATCCTGAGGGATACTCCGAAGACAAGGTCAGGAGTCCCACCTATGTGTTCTCGAAAAGTTGTGCCCACTTCTCTTACAGCTTGTCACCCTGTGATATGGTCTCCTCATCCTCTGTTGGTCTGTGCCACTAGGCTAAGTTCCTTGAGGGCAGGTTCTGGGTTTTCCTAGTTTCTAAATCTCTCAATACCTGGTTATGAAAGGTGTCAGGTATTTTTTGAATGTTTGAAAGTTCTTGAGACATTTAGGAATGGTTATAGAATAGCCTTATATGTTTGAGGATTACCTGGTGGAGGGAACCACTTTTTCCCTCCACACTTTCTGTCTGATTTGGTTTGGCATTATCTGGTATTTCCACAACTGCTAAGTAGACCCAGTGCTTTGGGTGGTGAAATATACGTTCCCTCCATAGATGGAATAATACAATATTTGAGGACAGTTTTTGCTTTGGGAGCACCATAATGAAATCCATTAACAAGAATAAGAAAGAATATTTGAGCTCTTTTACTGTATGGCTGTGGGAAGCATCTCGAATCTTTTCAAATTCATGTAAAAAAAAAATCACATGAACACACAGTAAAAAATTAAAATACCACACACAGAAATATTTAAAAGTAAAGTGAATGTTGTATGTGGATTCCCCTGACCCTTTTTAGCCCCTCTCCCCAATATTAAGCATTATTAAAATTTTGTGACTTCTAGAAAATGTTTTAGGAATGTAGTTTTTTTCCCTTAACATCTGACTTTTTTTTAACGTATGTTTTTTGAATGACAGACAAGCTGTAACCCTTCATGTGCCTTACCTTCATTCAATACTGGCAGCTCTTCCCCCAGAGGGGTGGAGGAACCTGACGTTATCTTCCAGAACTTTCTGCAGCAGGCTGCAAGTAACCAGTTAGACTCCTTGATGGGTCTGAGCAATTCACCCTCTGTGGAGGACACTGTCATCATCCCGTGTGAATTCTGTGGGGTACAGCTTGAAGAGGAGGTTCTGTTCCATCACCAGGTAAGAGTCCCTGGAGGACCTGTCCACCTGGCTCTATGCTGATTCTCTGTGAGTGAACCTAAGGCTTCTAGAGCCAAGAATACTTCTTTAGCCATTTTTTCTTTTTTTTTCCTTGTCTCTCCCCCACTTCTTTAGCCTTTAAGTTGCATTCCAACCTAACCAGGGATCCACACACTTGGCTTCTGGTCATGCTCTGTTTTTGTGAGCTATCTGGGGTATACAATACCTTTAGACTTTCTCTACCTTCTGGCAGCTGACACTGTCATGTCACTAGCTGAGTACCAAAGAGCTAGGACTCTATTTGAGCAGGCCTGGAAGCCTTGCCCATAAGAGTTTAGATGAGACTTTCCTTCAGGTCACTGATGCATTCTACTCTTCACTAGGTGGGTTCCTGCTGTTGCGGTGGCATTTGAGACTTGCATTCCTGGACACCTGAGGGCCTACTTCTGGCTTTGGCCCTATGGTTGACCTTGGATAGGTCCTCTCCGCCTCACTGGGGACATCTGTAAATGAGGGCGTTGGACTAGACAATCTGAAGTCCTTTTTCAGCTTTTGTAGTATAGGAGTCCCATCTTTTAGCAGGAAATATATTTTCTCCCTAATCTTATTTGTTATGGGGATCATGTTTATAGTTGATGCCATACAGCTGTTGTTAGAACATCATACATTTCATTTCTGGAATAAAGACTTTCTGCTTTTGGATCAAGCAGTAGATAAGTAACTGCTTGTTGTCTTCTAGGGGAGACGGAAATAAGCAACCACAGAAATACTCTGTTGAAGGATAGAAATGCTTTTCTGGGCTCCCAAGACCAGCCTTTCTTTCATCCCTGCACAAATCAGAAAGTGCTTCTGTCAATGCCCCAGGTGCTAGTGGGATAATGACTGCCCATTCCAGATGTGTGCTTTCTCTTAGTTCCCGGGACCTTCCTCTCAGTGTTGTCAAAGTCCACCTCCTGATGAAGTGTGCTCACCCAACCTGCCCTTCCTCGTTTTCCTCCCACTGCTCCCCTTTTCAGGAATGACTCAGTTCAGAAGTACTTATTCTGATTTTTCTTGTTTAGGACCAGTGTGACCAACGCCCAGCCACAGCAAACAATCACAGGACAGAGGGGATTCCTAGACAGGATTCCCATCCTCGAGAGACCTCACCAGAGCTGCCCAGGAGGCGTGTCAAACACCAGGGTATTAGCCAGAGCTGAACCAAGGCCACAGCTCACCTGCTGGCTCGAGCTTGCTTACCACATCTCATCTGCTGCTCTAACATGGGCGTTCCCTGAGTCTTGAGTTACCAAGCACACTACGGTCTGACTGAATACTCCTGTGGCTAGTTGTGATCCCTCGTTAGACTGAGCTACCCTCAAGTGTGGGTTGTATTCCAGTGGCTGTGGGGATATCCAGGAGATACACTTAGTAATCAGTGCTTAGAATAAGCTGTGGGTCTCCTGTCTGTGCACTTAGTGGATTATTTGTAGATAATTTGCAGACCTTACTATAGCCGCCCTGGGCCTCTCCTAGTTGAAATATGCTTAGGGTACTCAAACATTATTACTTAAGGGCCTTATGGTTAGGCAAGTAAACTGTTTTTAAACGTCTCCACTACAAAGCCAATTAGAAATTATTTTTTAGCCAGATGTCGTGGCACACACCTGTAGTCCCATCTACTCGAGAGGCCAGGGTGGGAGGATGGTTTGGGGCCAGCCTGGGCAACATAGTGGGACCCTGTTTCTTAAAGAAAGAAGAAAACTATTTTCAAGATTTGCTTGCACACTGTTGTTGAATAGCTAGGAGGCTGTATTTGATGACTCAGATAATAAGTGTGGAGAATAGACAAAGTATTGCCAACCCTGTCCTAGAGATGTGGGTTCTAGCAGTCTTTAGGGATGAGCAGTTGTCTTCTATCTAGAATTTTTTTGATCCTGCCCTAAGTCCAGCACTATAACAAAAGTAAGCTTTTCCCTAAAGCTATGACTATTTTCTCTTCTCAGGAGACCTGTCTTCTGGTTACATGGATGATATCAAGCAGGAAACAGCTAATGGGCCTACCTACCCTCTGCCCCCCAGCAGACTCATTAACAATACGACAGCTACCTCTAACCGACTGTCAAAATCAACATCAGGCCCCAGACCTGAGTGCCAGCCCAGCCCTCCTTGTGCACTGAAGCTCAACAACCCAGACGGCCAGGTCACCCATGGGCGGAATCGAAACAGTCAGAATGGGGCCATGGCCACTGGCCATGTTCCAGTGATTCACCCTGTTCGAAATCTCTACTCAGAAAACCTTGTGCCCTCTTTCCCCAGTGAGTCTGCAGAGAGATATGGTGCTAGGTAAGTACCAGTAGCCTGGGAATGAAGTTTGGGATTAGCTAAAGAGAACACTGGCAAAAGGTCTGGTCACCCTGGCCAGGCCTGGTATAAGACTGAGGTCCATGGGAAGGGGAGGAGTGTGGCTTTTTCCCGTATTTTCACCTGCTTCCAAACTATTCTTTTGCTGTCCATGGGGTTTTTTTTTGTGTTTTGTCTGTTAGCAGAGGGCTGCTTTTGCTCTGACACCAGCTGTTTATGTTCCCTCTGAGTTTTCTGACCTTTGCTCATGGGCATCAGGAACTAGTTTCCAATCTTTTTCTTTCAGTGGTAGGAGTGAAGGTGGCAGGAACACCCGGGTCACCCCTGTAGCTGCCACCTACCGCAGCAGAACTGCAAAGGTAACCTGGGATCCAGCTCATAATACTCACGGAGGACTCTGGCATGGGTGGGGCAGACGTGGCTCTTGAAGTCAGTAGTTGCTGGGGCCAGGCTGGTTATGGATGATTGACTGTTCCTTTGGCTTTCGATGAGGAGGTTTCTGTGGAAATTGGACATTTTCAGGGCTCCAGGGGCGTAGTATTGCACTTTCACTTGCTACTTCATCATTTGTGTTCTGTTGTTCAACAGGCAAAGCCCCCCAAGCAACAGGGAGCTGGGGATGCAGAGGAGGAAGAGGAAGAAGAGTAATGGTGTCTCCAGAGACCCTTCATGGTGGTTTCTACCTTCTGTGCACAGCAGCACTCGCCGCAGTGCAGGCCCTGCCTCTCTGGCTCTTTGGGCAGGGGAGATTTTCTGGATTTTAACTTTTTCTAAGTTATGGCCATTTTGTGTCTTTTGAGATTGTGCTGTGGAAGTTTGAGGGTTTGAGGGAGGGTTAGCAGGGAGGCTGTTGAGAAATGTTTCAGTCTTAGCTGCCGCCTTTTAGCAGCAGTGAGATATAAGTTATGGCCTCTTGGCCACCAGGGCTCCATATTTTGACCTACCGTCACTACTGCATCTTGGTGCTGTGGGTCCTGGTGGAAGGAGGAGAGGGTTCTGGAAACCTGGTACCCCTAGTAAAGTGGAGTCTCTGCCTTATGGGGCCTAAATTTGGGGGCTTTTGGGTAACTTCTCCAGGGTACTGCCCTCACCCACTCTAGGCTGGGCCTTGGGCGTGTGTGGAGGAGCTCTGGGAAAGTGCTCAGGCCAGCTGTGTTAGGAACGAGGCTTTGGAAATGAGTCGAGCTGGAGTGGAGTGGAGGGCTATGTTTTAAGCTGCTTCCTAGGCATCTGGCATCACTGCCTTCTGTTCCTGGTGGGGAGCATGGCTCCTTTGTCCTTGCTGCCCTCTACCGGGAACTGGGGAGAGCTGAGAGCTCCACGCTGGGCTCTGCCTCAGCCCCATGCTTGCTCTGAAAACCACGTGTCAGAGCCCCTTACCCCTCTTTTTATTTTACTATTATAATTATTATTAAACTTCCTTGTAATAGAAATAAAGTTTGTACTTGGAGTTAAGTCTTGTGGATCCTTCTCCTGTGCACTCTGTAGAGAATGCAGGGAGGCCAGAGTGGGCTGAAGTCAGCCCTGGGCATTGGGGGAGGTGAGCAGGACTGGGCTTTTCTGAGATTCCTGTAACCCTGGCAGTTCCATTGTCAGCTCAGAGTGTGCAATACATTAAGGTTTAGTGTCCTCTTCTCTTAGATTGGACTCTCGAGGAAACTGACATGCTTGTTGCAGCTCTGGTGATGATTGGGAGGTGTGGGGATGCCTCCAACTCAATAGAGAAAAGCAGATTCTTCAAAAGCCTCAATCCTTAGAGTAGTAGTTGAGCCTTAGAGGATTATCTGCTACCTGAGCCCAGGACCATCTAGCCCCATAGGTCATTTTGAGGTCATTTGTTCTTCTAAAAACAGTAGGGGTGGGACAGGTGGGAAGATTTTCCCCATGTCATAGATGGAACACCAGCCACAGGAATAGCAGTGATTTACATAAGGCTGTGCAGCTAATGCTTGGCTGAGCCAGGACTCTGAGAATCATCATCTTGAAAGAAGCTGGATGAAAAAAGGATACACTGTAGGATGTTAGATGCTTTATTTAGTCCATGTCACTTATACCTCAGTAAAACAAAACCAGGGTCGGTTGACTCAGACTTTCATGTCTCAGGTGAAAGCAGCTGGAGGGGCTAAGAGACTTGGATGTCTTCTGGCGGCATTGAAATCCCCCTGGGACTTCAAAGAGGTGAGAGGAAGGATCCAGGCAAGCTTCCACAGTCCTCTCCCCAGCGGGCCAGAGAATAGTCCTATGGCCCTTAACTGTCTTTTGAGGGTGGGGATTGACCTGCCAGAAAGTAAGACTCTCCCCACCAGCCTTTGTTTGTATTACACTTTGAGTAAAATAGTAGTGGCTTGGTTCATTTTACTTTGTTTGTTAGTAATCTATAGTTTCTAAATGTTTTATAATGGATATACTTTTTGAAAATATTTTTAAAAGTATTATAGGCAACTAAAACATGTCAAGGACAGCTAAAAAGAGTTAATTCCTTGTCGACTTCTCCCAAAATCCTCTCAAGAGTTCACTGCTTTTAGTTTTTAAGCTGTTTCTTATCGTATTCATTGCCGTATTTCCAAATCATGCATTTGACAATACTGCTTTTTAAAACTTTTATCACGTTTGCTTTAGCATTCTGATTTTTCTCCTGAACTGAGAGGGAGTTGCAGACATTGTACCCCCTTAACCCCAAATGCTTCAGCATGTTATTTCCTTAGAACAAGGAAGTTTTCTTAGTATATTCACAATTATCAGGAAATTAACATTGGTATAATACTATTATCTAACATAAAAAGGTTATTCACATTTTACCAATTGTCCCAATAATGACCTTTATAGCAAAAAATCACTTCCTCTGGTCCAAGGTCATGCATTACGTTTAGTTACATCTCTTTAGCCTCCTTTAATCTGGAATAATTCCTTAGATTTCTGTTTTCTTTTTTTTTTTTTGAGACAGAGTCTCACTCCGTTGCCCTGGCTAGAGTGCCGTGGCTTCAGCCTAGCTCACAGCAACCTCAAACTCCTGGGCTCAGGCGATCCTCCTGCCTCAGCCTCCCGAGTAGCTGGGACTACAGGCATGCGCCACCATGCCCAGCTAATTTTTTCTATATATATATTTTTAGTTGTCCAGATAATTTATTTCTATTTTTTTTTTTAGTAGAGACGGGGTCTCGCTCTTGCTCAGGCTGGTCTCGAACTCCTGACCTTGAGCGATCCACCGGCGTCAGCCTCCCAGAGTGCTAGGATTACAGGCGTGAGCCACCTCACCCGGCCGATTTCTATGTTTTCAATGACCTTGATGTTCTTCAGTACAGGACAGTTACTTTGTAGATTATCCCATGACTTGGGTTTGTGCGATGTTTTCTTACCATTACGTTGAGGTTACGTAGTTTTGATAGGAATGCTGGAAGTGATGGTGTGTCCTTAGCATACCGTATCTGGGCACATAATGTCATTTGTCCCATTATTGGTGATAATACTGATCACTTGGTTAAGACACATCAGTCTGCCATATTCTCCACTGCAAATTTACTACTTTCCTCATTAATTATTAAGCATTTTGTGGGAAGGTAATTTGAGACTGTAAATATCTTGTTTCTCATCAAACCTTCACCTACTACTACTTTTAGCATCTATGATGATTCTTGCCCTAATTATTACTATTCAAACGGTGATCTTCTAACTGCATCATTCTTTCTACATTTGGCCTTCTATAATACTTTAAGGAACAGTGGTCTACTTTCTATTAATCTATCTTGGCTGGAATTTGAAGTCTCCTGAAAGCATTATTTTTACTTTCTAGGTTCTTACAAAGTTTGATGCCATTCTAACCTGCATTCTGACTTTCTCCCTTGAAGCCTTTTAGGATCTCTATCCTTGGTATTTTGAAATCGCCCCATGTTGTATGTTGATACGGATTCTTATTCCGTTCAAAGAGCACTTAGCACTTTCTGTCTGGAAACGCACGTCCTCTTTGGTTTTTTCAGAATGTTCTTGTATTATTATGTAGGCAATTTCTCTCCTGTTTTTTCTCTTTCTTTGCTTAACTCCAATTATAGTTGGATGTTGCCCATCTCAAACTGATCATTTTTTTTCCTCTCTTTCTCTTTGTCCTTTTGTTCTACTTTATGGGAGATTTCTCAACTTTATCCTTTCATCTTTATGTTAAACTTATTTCTGATTATCCTCTCTCAGCTTTTTGTTTTTTTTTGAGACAGAGTCTCGCTCTGTCACCGGCTAGAATGCAGTGGCATCATCATAGCTCACTGCAGCCTCAGACTCCTGGGCTCGAGCCATGCTTCTGCCTCAGCCTCTGCCTCCCGAGCAGCTGGAACTATAGGCACCATGCCCAGCTAATTTTTAAATTTTTTGTAGAGACAGCGTCTTACTATGTTGCCCAGGCTGGTCTTGAACTCATGGCCTCAAGTGATCCTCCTGCCTCAGCCTTCCAAGTAGCTGGGACCATAGGCACCATGCCCAGCTAATTTTTAAATTTTTTGTAGAGACAGCGTCTTACTATGTTGCCCAGGCTGGTCTTGAACTCATGGCCTCAAGTGATCCTCCTGCCTCAGCCTCCCAAAGTGCTCGGATTATAGGCATGAGCCACCACACCTGGCTTATAGCCTTTTATTTTTTTTCCTTCTTATTTAGTGGATGCAGTACTTTTGTGGCATAGTTGTTTTTTGGATCTTCTATTATCTATATTGTCCATTTCCTAGGAGTTATTTTTGGCTTAGTGTTTTATGCTGTAGACTTTCCTTCTGATTCTTCTTGGCTGTCTGTCTCAGAGCAGGGCAGTAAGAGCAGCTCTCCTCAACTCTTGGCTTTTACTGTAGGGCATTCAGCTGGCGTCTTCACTGAAGATCCCCGGACGTCAGTATATGTATGTCTTTTCTCTGGGTTAGCTCAGATTGTGGAGTATGAATGGTGAGTGGGGCTGGGATGTTCTGTTCAGTGGATGGATTTGTCCCCATTTTCAGTCTGATCTTACTCCCTCCAAGTGCCTGGTGGCTAGAATTGTGAGCTTCTGAGGTGGTTTCTCCAGAATGTAACTTCTGGTCTTACAATTCTAACTGCTTCTTACATGACTTCCAATCCGTGTTTTTCCCTGGTTCATGGGGCCTCCAATTCCTCTCCTTTGCAGAGTTTTTTAAATTTTAAAAAAAGGGTGCACATAACCTTGCTTTCTATGATGATATACTCTGGCTAAATCATTTATCATTCTTTCATCAGCTGTCCTTTCAGAAATTTTGCATTGAAATGACAGATTTCTCTTGGTTTCATAAAGACAGAATGTGTGCTTTTATTTCTTGATTTTCTTATTTTGGCATACTTTAAAGAAACTATCTATACAGTACAACATCCTTACAGAAAGGTACATGGAAGCGTACAGCTCAGTACGAACACAGGTTTGTTACCACCACCCAAACCAAGAAACACAATGTTACTAAGACACCACCACCTCCCTCACACTCCTAGTCCCTCTCCCTGGGCCAACAGTCACCATTGTCTTGATGCTTTGTTACCACCAGTTATTACCCATGGTCAATGTTATTTAAAAGAACTCATACCATTCAGTGCTCCCTTAGGTTATTTGTATAGCTGATTATTTTGGTTATGGTTCATCTATGTTGTTGCAGTGGTTTCTTCATTTTCCTTCCTGTACAGTATTCAATTGTACGCCAATAATTTATTCTGTTGACAGACCTGCAACTTGTTTCTAGTTTTGGCAACGACTACTAGTGCTGCTATGAACATTCTCATACCTGTCTTCTGGAGAATGTGTGTAAGTATTTCTACCGGGCTTACACCTAGAAGTGGAATTGCTGGGCCACGAGGTATGTGTAGTAGATGGTGTCAAATGGTTTTCCAAAATAGTTGTAGGTTAGATTCCCACAGTGTATGAGAGTTCTGATTGTTCCACATCTTCACCAACCATAGTGTTGTCTTTCTGACCCTTTGGGTCATATCTCATTGTGATTTTTATCAGTATTGCCCTGCTGACTAATGAGGATGAGTATCTTCTCATTATTGGATGGTATACTTTTTTTTTTCTTTGTAAGAGATAGGTTCTCTCTCACTCTGTTGCCCAGGCTGGAGTGCAGTGGTGCAATCATAGCTCACTGTAACCTTGAACTCCTGGGTTTAAGCAATCCTCCTGCGTAGCTGGGATTATAGGCACACACCACCATACCTGGCTAATTTTTAAATTTTTTGTAGAGACAGTCTTGCTATGTTGCCCAGCCTGGTCTCGAACTTCTGGCCTCAAGTGATCCTCCTACCTCAGCCTCCCAAAGTGCTGACATTACAAGTGTCAGCCATTGCACTTGACCCTCAATGGTATATTTTTTGAATGTATTTATTTTTCAAGAGGCAGCCCACAGAGATGGCCTCAGCAGTGGAGAGCAGGGGATCCCTTACTTTGCTCAGCTGGGCAGAGAGCTTAGGGCATCCCATTCCCTGGCTTCTCAAGTCTAAACAGAGGTCTTCTCTTTGCCGTGAGCGGTTGCTTTTGCTCCCTGTTTTCAGCACCCTGAAGCAACAGACAGAAGGAAAGCTGCCTGTTCCTTATCCAAGAGGTTCCTTGCTCTTCCTATAACAAAGACATATCTGGGACACTTCTGCTAAAGTCAGCATTTATTACGTGTAAGAAAGGTGGAATTGAGAGAATGAGAACAAAATGGGTCTGGGTGAGGACTCCCATGGAACCAGTAGGAGGGGATAAGCAAGTCCCAGAGAACTGAGTCGTATTCTCCCGAGTGTAGACAACAAGGTACTCCCTGGGGGAGGGAGGTGTCTGTGTAGGAGGGCTGAGCACTGATCCTGGACAGCAGGATGAGCCAAGTCCTTACCTCTTTCCTGCATTTCCCTTCTGCAAAGTAGGTCTAAATCCATTGCTTACTCCCAAAGGAAGATATTTGGTTTAAGAATGGCCCAGACCCTTCCAGTGCAACAGTCCACTTGAGAATCCCCACACCAGGCACAAGAGCATAGATTAGCTGTCAGGACAAAGAGTGGGCAGAACATGCAGGGTTAGTTTTACCTTTGACCTTGGATTTCCATCTCTTCAATCATAATTTCTACATGAAAAGGACAGACTCAAGGGGTCGGGTGGGGGGAATGGGTAGTTTGTAAGCATAATGGAGTAAGAATCATATCAAGTGCAAAGAGACCATAATAATTGGAAACACTTTAATTCCTAGCCACTTGGCAGCACTTAAGCATCAGAGCCATCCAAGCATGTCCGGCCTTTGAGCTTGCTCAGCAAGAGTAGATGATCACACAACTCTTAAGGTAAATCAAAATTAGATGAAGGTTATTTATTGGTGTGATTTTTTTTCCTGTAGTGAGCTTCCTTTACACGGCATGGTGTAAACAGCATCAGATTGAATGAAAAGTTTAAATGCAACCATAAATAATTATAATAAATATACATCAAGTAACTTTACAGCACACATTTCTTTAGGGCCAAGGTTTGGATGGGTCTGGACCTCAATGTGTTCTCTGGGAAAAGCAGCCATGTTAGCAGCAGATACCTTACTCACAACTGTCATCTAATCAAGTGATGGGCCAACCCCTCTTGGGGAGGTAGCTGACAAGTCCTTTCAAGGGATGATGATTGGAAGGAATCAAGAATTTAAAGATACAGGGAGGAAAAATCATTTCTAATAACTCCAGAAGCTCTTTCATTATACAGCAATGAAATAAGAGGATCCTTGTCAGGAATATATCCTGGATGTGACCCCCTCCCCCTCTCACGTCAAGGGGAAGTGGCTTCCGGGGAGGCAGCGGGCTGACCATCTTCCTTTCAAAGCAGGGGAACTGCTTGCAGGTACTCACCTCCAGAGGTGTGACTTGCATCAAATGTAACTGATGCAGCAGTCACAATTTATCCTAGGTTTATCACGTCCTTAGGTCAGGGAATCTTTTCTATAATGGTCCTTAATGCATTTCCTATGAATAATAAGGAGAAGATGGATGCTAACGGCTCTAACTCTAAAACTCACACATCTTTCCAGCAGGCCAGGGCACATCCTCTTTCTTGGACCAGCATCCACACTCCAAAGCCTTCTAGACAGCACTCATTCGGAACTTCCAGTATTCACAATATTATACAATAAATACAGTGATGCAATTCTGAGACCTGGCAAGGCCCAAAATGACAGTGTCCAACAAGATGGCATGTGCTGCTCATGAACAAAGTACCACTGGACAAAGACCTATTTGGGGCACAAATGCACTGGGGCAGGGGGTGAGCCTAGAGGCAGCTCAGCCCTGGCACATACACTTACATGAGGCAGCGAGGGGAGTGCCGGGTGGGCCCGACCAGAGGGGCACAAAGTCCTGGAGTCTGCATGTGGACTTGAAGGTCTGAGTCACTAAAGTAGACCCCAAACTGAGCAGAGCACCTCAGATAGCTCTTTTAAAAACCAGTATGTGGCTCTTTCCTCTCCCTCACATCACTGCAGTGAAGAAGGGCCGTTTCTGAGCACAAAGTGGGGTAGGCTTGAATTGTGTGCTTTCCTGTTCAATCGGTATCAGAAAAGGCCCCCACTTGAGCACTGTCCCCCAACTCCAGTGTCTTCTCAACTCCTGCAGTTGGGATGCAGCCAGCCTGTCTCTAGGAACTAAGGTCAGGAACGAACCCTTGAGTCTTCTGCTTCTGAGGAGTCCTCTGGGGACAACTGTCAGACCAGGGGCCCACAAGAGACATAGCAGATAGGCTTGTATGGGTGGGAGGGGACAGGGGAGCCAGTGTGGGCTTTTCTTCAGAAAAACCAAGACCAAGAACAAGTCCTAAAGCTGGAAGATTAACATGAAGCTCCCTGTGTGTCTCTCACATGTTGGGGCAACTGGCCTGACCATCTCCAGGTGGAAGGAGGCCTGCAGGAGCTGCCTCTGGGAGAAACTCCAGCTCGAGGTGGGAGGGCAGGGCTGGCCACAGGCGTGTTTGTGGAGATGCTCTGCAGAAAGAACAGGGCGCTCTGTGGCCAAGGTCATCTCACCCCCAGTCTCCTGCTTGGTTGTTCTGTGATGAGGAACCAACTGGGGCCTTATGGCATCAGAATCTGGTGGCCATGGGGGACAATGTCCATAAAGATCAAATTAGACACAAACTGTCCGGGAACTGAACTATCCTACAAATAGACCACAAACAGGCAGCAAAAGAACCAACCCATCACAAAACGTACAAATACAAAAGGTTAAGTTTTCCAGGAGGTCCTGGAACATGGACGAAAGTTTGGAAAAGCAAAATGTTGCCAACTCCTCACGCAGGGCCCCGGAGGGACATGCCCGCAGTGGCAGGCTTCCCAAGCCGGCAGAGTGGGTGCCTCGGTGACAGCCTAACTCTGGGACTCCCTTTCATCAGCCACTTAGGGGGTCTTCACGGTAGTGAATGGCACAACGAAGTTTCTCCAGCATGATTTCCAGAGAGGAGTACTGGGGAAGCTTGATCATGAACATGCAGGTCTCCACTCGGATGTAGCGTGAGTCTGGAGAACCTACAGAGAAACATCGGGCCAAAGTCAGAGGCTGGGGCCTACGGCTCTGCTAGGGTCCCAAGGAGGCCTGGCCTGCTGCTGCTTCCAGGTTGGCCTCTTTGGGCAGCTCCGAGCCGATCCCGGGACCCGGCAGGAGGGGAACGAGGGCCAGGAACCAGGGCCGGGCAGGACAGGATTCTGCAGGAAGAAAGGGCAGACGTGCAACCACTGGACTGCACAGGTAGCCACACTGCTGAGCTGGGTGGGAACCCTGCTGCACACAGGCTTGCTTGGTCAGCAAAGTGTTTAGTTTTGATTTTTAAATTGAATTATCTTTCTGTATTTAAAAGTTGGGAGGTTAAAAAAGTTCTGGATCTTTCAGCTTCTTTTAAAACCTCAGAAGATATGTTAACACCAGGCCTGTATGGCCTGTTCCCCCTGGCCCCTTCATTTCTATTTGGGTTTTGGTGTGCAGGGTTCCTGCTCATTCTTCTCTGTCCCTCATGCAGAGCCTGGCAGCCCCAGCTCCAAACAGAGAAGGACCTGTGTGTCCCCACTTGCAACATGGCCCCAGGAGGGCAGTACCTGCTGTGCCATCTGGGGGGGCGATCTTCATGGGGTATGGGGGCACGTGGGCTGTGTCAGGGCCGCCATCTTTACACGGGCAGGTGAACGGGATGCGTTCCTGGTTGCAGGCAAACTTGATGAACTTGCACAGCTCCTCCTGGGAGAACATCTCCAGAGCCCCCCAGAAGAATTCGATGTGCTGGTCTGTCTCCATCAGCCCCACCTGGTACATGGTGTGGGCCTGGGAAGAGAGGCCCCCAGCTGTGAGGAGGCCGGGGCCTCTGCTTACCCAGGGGCCTCCCAGCCCTGGGGGCTGCAGGCAGGCCCAGCCCCAAGCAGGGTGCAGCAGGGACAGCATGCAGGCTGTGGACCAGGGAGATGACAATGACATGGGTCTGTGGTGAGGACAGAGTGCCAAGACAGGCCAGGGTTGCTGCCTACATAGACACCACAGGTGACCAGGGATGGCAGGCCTGGCGCCCACCTACCTTCAGGAACTCGAGGTTGATATATGGGAGGCCGCAGGTGCGCAGCTCCATCTCCAGCGGACTGAGCGTGGTCAGCAGCTGCAGGGGGATGATGGAGCCCAGGCCGGCCCGCACCGCCGTCACGCACTCCGTGTTCTGCAGCTCCCGCAGCCGCAGGCTCCGGATGGCCGCCGCATAGATGTCCTTGTTCTCCCACCTGCCCAGGCGAGGGGGCGCAGATGAGGGAGGACTCCGAAGAGGTGGATGGGGTTGTTCCTTCTCAGTCTGGGACCACACCAGGCTGTCCCCATCCTGGCAGCTTAGTTCATTCCTCCCTGCCTTGGTGTCACCTACCTCAGAGCCGTTGTTTCTTTAATGAAATCCTTCAACTGAGGATCATTTTTCTTTGCACCCAACGCCCTGCCTCGTATTCCTCCCCCTGGTAAAATCCACCTGTCACCTGACCTAGGCCCTCCCTCGTGCTGTTGCCGCTGTCATACCCTGGCCACCCCTCCCCACGCACACACTCACGCCACAGGGATGTGCCGGCCGCGGCTGCACAGCTCCACCTCCTCGCCCGTCATGGTCAGGTAGGTGAACCTGCAGCAGGGCTTGTTGGGACTGTCAGGGCTCTCGGTGGCCAGATGCTGGGAGGCGATCTCGGCACACAAGGCCTCCAGCTCGGTCTCGTCGTTGATCTGGGGGTTGGGGCAGAGCGAGGCTGACAGCCTGCCTTGCCGCCAAGGCCCCAGGGAGGTGGAACCCTCGTCTCCAGCTGGTCAGTGTCAAGCACCGTATGGGCAGCGTCTACCCTTGGCCGTATGGATGGGCCCGTGACCCAGGCCTGGCCAGTCAGAGCCTGCCGCCGCTCAGGGTTGGGCATATGACCTGGGCCGGGCTAGCGAGACCCAAATTCCAGGCCTTTGCCTGTTACTGTTTGTAAGTGGCGATCCTTTCCCACTGGTGTGGCTCTGACTGCGTGATGGCACACCTTGTGCTGCTGGAGGCCACCTATGCCAGCACACTGGGAGAGACTTCCTGGACCGATCACTGATGACATCGTTTGAGCATCAGGATTCAGCCCTGCCTGAAGCCAAACCTGTATGTGTACTTTTTAAGAGTGAATAAATTAAAAAAAATTTTTTCTTAAGCTGGTTGGAGCTGGGATTTGTCACTTGCCACCAGAGAGCCGACTTAATCTTATCTGTGGAAGATGTACAGGCCACTCCCCCCACCCTTTGGCATTCTGGGATACCAAGGGCATGACAGGATCTGACCCTGCACTCTGTCCTTAACAGCAAGCCCCCTGCCCCTGCACCCGTGGTGAAAGCTGCAGGCCTGTGTACCTGACACCGTGTAGTTCTGGTGTCCTGGCATCCCTCTGTGGCCTTGCCCATCCCCTTCTGCCACAAGCCTTGGCTGGACCATCTGCCTGGACACCGCCTTGCATCCTCTGCCTGCCCTGGCTCCTTGCTGCCACCCAGAGCCCTAGAAGGGCTTCCCGGAGGAGGAGTGCCTGACACATAAACCCCCAGGCCAGGGGTGCCCTCCTATGACCTTTACACGATTCATCCTCATCCCTGTTTCTACCAAGAAGCCGACTGATACCCAGGGCCCCAGCTTTGCATCTCCCTGGCATTGGCTGCCCTCAAGTGTGGTTAAGGGGACAACCACACAGCCTGGCCTGCGGCGCCTCAGTGGGCCCACCAAGTTTTCTGCCGGTGGAGGCAGAATGAGCTGACACCTCCTTCAGCTGAGGTCCCGTGCCAAGCAGCCTCTGCCAGGCTCAGACACAGTCTACTCCCGCGTGGGCAGAGGAAGGTGGCTGCAAGGGGGGGGGGCTGGGTCAGAGGCCACCTGCCACGCTCTGTGGGTCCGTTCTCCCAGCTGAGCGGAGTGTGTGGTGCTGAGGAGCGCGGGCCGCAGAGCCGGGCAGACCTGGGTTCCTGGGTGGCTCTGCTCCCCTCCAGCCGCGGGGCCCTGGGCTACTCATTTCACCCCACTGAGCCTCACTTGCCGCCCAGCCCGCACGGGCCTTACGTAAAGGAGAGCCGCCTGGGACGCCCTGAGGATGGGACGCGATCCAGAGCCTGGCCTGTGATGGGGTCTCGGTGCTGTCTGCTCAACCGTGGGGGGCCCAGCGGCTCTGCGAGCCCAGCTGGCAGCCTGGCATCAACCACATCTCCTCAGGAGGGTGCTGGTCAGATGTCACTGCGGTCTCAGCATCTGTGTGTGTCCCACACATGTACAGGGGAGGAGGGGGGACTCCATCCCCAGCGCCTTTGCTGGCCAATCTCAGATGATTCCCCAGGGCTGACCTCTTGCCCTCTGAGGCCCTGAAACAGCTCTTAAAAATGAAGCTGGGCCTGCTTGTAGCAGTTCCCCCAGCCACCTGTGTTCATCACGCCAGGAACCCTTCCCCGTGTCCTTGGGGATGGACCCCGTAAGTGGGAGGCCCAGCAGGGCTGGTCACCCCTGTAGTCTGCTGCTGTCAGCAGGGAGGGAAGCCAGAGGCCTTTGTCCCCGCGAGACAAGCCTTCCTGGCAGAGACGGCTTACGGTGCTGATGTTCTCTGGGGGATCCCACCCAGTCCTCACTGGGGAGCTCAGGTCTGCCATGGAGGCCAAGGCAGAGGTGGCACAGAGGGCCCCAGGTGCTGCTACAATAAATGTGCTTTTTTTTCAGAGTCTCACTCTGTCGCCTGGCTAGAGTGCAGTGGTGTCAGCCTAGCTCACAGCGACCTCCAACTCCTGGGCTCAAGCGATCCTCCTGCCTCAGCCTCCCTAGTAGCTGGGACTACAGGCATGCGCCACCATGCCCGGCCAATTTTTCTATTTCTAGTGGAGACGGGGACTCATTTTTGTTCAGCCTGGTCTCGAACTCCTGAACTCAAGCGCTCTTCCCTGCCTCGGCCTCCCAGAGTGCTGGGATTACAGGCGTGAGCCATGGCGCCCGGCCCCCCAACGTGCCTTTCACTTACACTCTCGAATTTCTTGACGTAATTGTAGGTGAGAATGTCTGCCTCCTGCAGGTCTTGGTCAGGGTCCAGGGGCTCGCCCACCAGTGTCTTCCAGAAGGAGGGCAGGAGGTCCAAGGGAAGAGGGACGTCTGCTCGAATCGCAATGCCCAGCAGCTGCCCGAGGAAGTGCAGCAGCTGCTCCTCCCCGTAGGTGATGGGGCTGGGGGTCAGGATGTACTTGCCCTGGAAGTGAGGTGGGATGAGGCGCTGTGGACCTGTGCCTCTGTCCCCGCCAGGGAACATGTGTCCCAGGCTAGCACACTGCGTGGCAGGCAGGAGAGAAGCCACTGCGAGGACCTGAGCCTGTCCCAGAGCTCACCCCGCCAGCGCGGCAAGGACCTGCCCGCCCAGACCAGGAAGGTTTCAGAAAAGGTGTGGAGCCGACGAGGACTGGGGTCCCCGGCCACTGCCCCTCAGCTGCCGGGGCTCGGCCCTACCTTGTTCTTATTGACAGCCGAGCTGGGGCACAGCAGGAGGAGCGACAGCGAGGAGCTCTGCAGTTCTTTGCACACCTGCCACAGGAAGTGGCGGAAAGAGCCGCCTGCGGGACAGATGGAGACGTGTCAGCACTGGGGACCGTCCCCGGGGGGAGGTACTAGAGAGCAACACCCCCTCCCTGAGGACTGGGAGACCTGAGGTCAAATCCTGCTCTGCCACTTACTAGCTGGGCAACGGCAGAGACATCACCTGATACAGGGGACCCCGGAGCCAGGCCGAGGAGAGCAGTCGCACCTACCGCGCTGGCTTGTTGCAAGGATTAAATGAGATCACATGCGTGTCCCTCATGGGAGCACCTCACGGCTGTGAGCCTGCTCTGCGTTGGGGGCCTGTCTGGTCCACGTCCGTCTCCTCGGGCCAGGCTGAGGGCAGGGCCACCTGTTTCACTCAGCGCTGCCGCCCCACCGCCCAGTGCTCGTGTTGGCTCAGCGAATGCTCAGATGAGTGCGTGGATGCCCCTACTTCCGTTATTCGAAACGGGCTTGTGGTTTTCTTGAAAAACTCCGCTGTGGCTGGGCCTCCCCTGGCCTTCCCTGTGTGTTCCCGTCCGTGCCCTGAGGTCAGGGAGCTCTGAGGACAGCTGTGCCTGCCCCTGCTTGGTGAGAGCCACGCAGAGGCCCAGCTTGGGGGGCAGGTGGCAGGGCCTGGCCCCACCTCTGCTTCCCAGGAGAAGCAGGCGAGTCCCGACTGCTGGCGCCTGAAGGCCAGGGGCCTGGCTTTGGAACCCAGGCTGCTGTTGACCTCGGAGAAGCTACTCAACTCTGGTGGGAAGCTTCAGTGCTATGAGGAACGTGAGGTGTTGGGGGTGGGCCTGGCACATTCTGAGCTCTCAGTGAACCAGAGCCATCTGGGAGGCCTGGGGGGTCTGCCCAGAGGATGGCAGTGCCCATCTGGTAGGCTGCTGCTGGCCACAGGTTCCCTTGGGGGAAGACCAGGGAAATGGGGGGCAGAGCTGACGCTTCCTCCTGCACCGACAGCCCTTCTCTCCCAGTGCACCCCGCAGGGAGGAACTGGGTTTCTTCTTCATTCACAGTGGGAGGCATTTCCTGAATGTCTGGGGCTAAACATGTTGCAGAGTGCAACACCAGGGCCATTTTAATCAAGGGCGCCCGAGGGCCCTGCCTCTCAAGGGACACACACGAGCTTTCAGCCCAACCAACCCCTCACCCAGGACTCTGTGGGAAGAAAGCCAGTTGGCACCGAGGGCGCCTCTGCCAGGCCCACCCAGCACGTGCGACACCGCGGCGAGCAGAGGCCCCAGGCCTGGGAGGGACTGGCTGAGGTCCCAGACCAGCGCAGGCCCCAGTTCCCACAGGGGCCGGCCTGGAGGTGCTGGTCCTGGTCACTCTGGGTGCAGATCTGGCTTCTGCAGAGCAGGGTGATGAGGATGTGCCTCTCGCTCTAGAAACTGGAAGTGATCTTGGGCAGCTTAGTCTCGAAATAAGCCCGGGAAGTTTTCTATTCTAAACAGCCTGCTCCCCGGGGAGCTGGCGGGGCTGCCACTTACTGGTGCCGTGGACCTCTTCCCCAGTGAAGCGGATGTTGAAGGCATACGTGGGGTCACCACCACTAGCTAGCTTGACGCAGAGCTGAGATGAGGGCACCGAGGCCAGCTGCCTGGCTGCCTGGCAGAAGTAGGAGTTTTCAGAAGCTCTGATTTCCCCTGGAAAGCGAGAGAGGAGCTGCTCACATCCTCCCTGCGGCCGCCCTCTGCCCTTCCCTGCAAGGCAGAGCCCGGGCCTGGCTGGCTCTGACCCCTCCCCGCCCCCTCGTTCGGCCCCCTGTGCCTTCTCTCTGCTCTTGGAACATCTTCAAACCTTTTGTGCTTAGCACATGTGGTTCCCTCTGCCTGGAACCCGCCTCCCCTGGTCTCTAAGTGATTGGCCCCTTCTCATCTTCTAGAGGGTTCCATTTGCCTCCTTGGGGAGGTCCTTTCCCCACCTTCCCACCCTGGTTCCTCTCTTATTTCCTCCTGCTTGTGTCCGTCGCGTTTGTCCGTTTATGTGCTATGGCAGAGACTCCTGATTGCCTCCCCAACATCCATTTTCCTTCTCGTGATGCCAGAACGCCTAATTTTTGGCAAGCACATGGCCAATCAGAAAGAAGTCTACATTCCCCCCACGTGCAGCTGAGTGTGGCTGAGGCCTCGTGGAGGAAAGGCCTGACTCCACGGAGAGCCAAGCTCCCTCCTCCTGCTGCCCAGGGCGCAGAGCTCCTGCCACACACAGGGACGCCAGGCAGACTGACCCAGGAACTGCCGTACCAGCCCCAGACTTCCTTCTTATAGAGGCTTCTTTTAAGTTCAAGAAATCTGCTAGTTCGTTTAGGCTCTGCTGTTTTGCACTTGTTGGCCTCTATAGCCAACCCCACCTCCCACAATCTCCAGTGGGTCCAAGGTGATCTCGGGGGCCGCGTGGTCCGCTGTCCTCTGCACAGTGGCGTTCAGCACTCGATTCATCACCGTCACCTTCGTGTCATAGAAGATCAGCCCTGAGGAATGTGGGGGAGAGGCTGGATGGGCTGCCTCCCTTCCTTCCCCGTCTCCCTGGGGCCCCTGCCGCCCCATCGGGGTCTTCTCCAGACACCCTGCAGGCCCCGGGAGGGGCACTCGATGTCCTGCTGCTGGCGGTGGCCGGCCCTGGCTCTGTGTAGGGCAGTCTGTTAGCATCGGGCCACATGCTAAGTGCATTCACCCTCTGTCACGCCCAGGAACACCAGCTTGCAGGACACCACAAACAAGCGAGAGTTGCAAAACAGAATACAGAAAATGATACCTATTATTAATTTAAAAAAAAAGAAAAGAAAAAGAAAAAAAACCCTTTGTGTGTGTGTGTGTGTGTGTGTGTACGTCTATTTGTATGTGGACAGGAAAGTCTGGAATGACAGATTCTCATCTGTTAACAATGGTCACCTCTGGGAGGAAGGAATATGGGGGCCAGACGACGAGACAGAGCTTCGACTTTATATGTTTCTAAGTAACTTGAAACTTTAAAAATAAGTTGACTTTTTTCACAGCATAGGTTATTTTTATAGTTAGTTTCCCTTGGGTGGGCCCACCGCTGGATGCAAGGCCGTGATGGCCGGAGGACCCCGCCCGTGGCCCTGGCACTGACCTTTGGCCTCCTTCAGCAGGGCGGCGATGCCGTGGGTGTACATGGGAGTCTGGCGCAGCTCCACCAGGGGCAGGAAGAAGGTCTCCAGCGTGGTGTTGAGGGACTGCAGCAGGGCGAAGCGCAGGCGCAGGCTCTCGATGGGCACGTCTGCAGAGCACGAGGGTGTCAGGCTGAGATGCTCGGTTTGCAGACACGCCCAGGCGGTCCCTGTCACCGGCGAGGGCCACCTGGAGTGGGACCAGGAGGCTCCCCACACTGGATTTTACACCAGGGACCCTGGGGATAGCCCGTGAGTGAGCGGCCCCCTGTGCCTGAGCCTGTGCCAGGCAGAGGCAAAGTGGGCAGCCCTGGGCCAGCCAGACGCGAGGTGCTGGCTTTTAAGGAAGTCGAGGCCTCCAGCCTTCCTTTGGGCCATGCCAGGGCTGCTGCACACTGTATTATTTTTTTAATTCTTGATTTTGAAATAATCATAGACTATAGCAGTCGCAAAAATAACACAAAGTCCTGCCTACTTTGCACCCAGCTCTCCCTAGTGGTGAGGTCATGTATCAAAACCACTGGCACACTGTCTTTTAGCGTTCAGCCCCAAATCTGTCTCCTCTCCCACGGGAGAGACGAAGTCAGGGCCAAATCCTTGCCCACCTTCACCTCCTGGGCATCCAGACGAGAGCAGGGCTCTGCGCCTGTGCAGATGAGGCGCGTGGCTGAGCAAAGCTTGTGCTATGTGTGGGTGCAGGGCCCTGCCACCGTGTTGTAGTGGGGCTTACTACCCAAGGGACATCTGGGAATTAACGGCTTATTTTCTGTGTGCCTTCCTGGCTGTAATAAAAAGCACACATCCCCCTGTCAGGAAAGCTAATGCCTCCACGTCCGTTATCAGACTACCTGACGTTCCTCACACCCCACGGCAGCCCGGCCTCAGAGGGGCCTCCAGCCCCTGTGTGTCTGTGTCTGTGGCCTGGCTTTGTTGTAACGAGCATCCAAAAAAGCCTCAGGCTGGTCTGGCTGCGGTCGGGCCCCTTGTCTGCTCTCCTTCCATTTCTGCAGCGCCCTCTGCTGCACGCCTGGCTCCTGACAGCTGTTTATATTTCTGCAGTGGATGTGTAAATGGCATCTAGCCCTTGTGAACACTCTCTGTCATGGGGCTTGCCCCGACTGGGCATCAGGGGAGGGGACAGCCCCGGGGGCCACATACTCAAGAGACAGGCCACTCTGGGGTCAGCTGCATCGGCCGGGTCCAGATACACCTCGTGGGGATGGAGCCGCGCGGGCGTGATGGCCAGGTGGCGGCACAGCCGATTGATGTACTGCACGAGCGCCACGTCCATCTCCAGGGTCCACTTCCGCGAGGCCTTCTGTGCGTGTCGGACGTCGATGCAAGCACACCTGGGGACGGGGAGGAGAGCACAGTGGGGTGTGTCTGTTGGGGTGACTGCTGGATTCCCCTTACAGAGGTGCTTGGACAGCTCCTGGGGGGACAGGGTTGGGGGAGGTCTTTCAAAGGAAGCCAGCCCCGGGCGCTGCAGGGAGTGCGAATGGTGCGTCCACCCTGTGCACGGCCAGTCGAGTGTTAGGGTGCAGGAGGGGCTCTGGAGTCCTGGGGTGAAATCTAGGCTACGTATAGCAACCCAGGCAAAAACGCGTCCACTTTCTGAGCCTCGGTTTCTCTACCCAGAAAACAGAGCTCATAACAGCACTAGCCTCATGTGTTGTCACAAGAATTCAATGGGAAGGTGGCTGCGAAGCACACTGCACGGTGCCTGGCACATTCCAAGTGCACAGTGTCAGCTGCTGGTGTCACTGATGTCATTACCCTTTTCCCAGCAATCCCATTCCAGGATTCACCTGCGGAGCTCTTGGAACGGGCAGGCCAAGGTGTGCTTGCGAGGGCCTTGCTGCGGGGCTGCGTCATTACAGCAACATCGGACACAACCCAAGTGTCCGTCGCCAGGAATTAGCTGAATAGATTACACTACACCTAAGAATGGAACACTAGATGGCCACGGAAATGACCACGTGGAATAATGTGGAAAAACGAAAAAAGCGACCGCAGAGCAGTTTGTCTGGCTGGATCCCACTGTGACAGGACTGAAAAAAATCTACCTCCAGAAAAATGCCGGCAGAGATGTTCACTGAGCATTACCCAGCAATGCTCTACGGGCACTGAACACCACCAGGACGTCGCTTCTGTGTGTGTGTACACGGCGTGGGGCTCTCAGCAAGCATGCGCGTCCTTACTCCGCAAACGTCACGCTATTCGCCCAAGAAAGGCAGGTGGCAGGCACCCGGCAGGGTGTTTAGTTCCAGAGCCTGTGGCCCCTCAAGTGGGCACAGCAGGTGCATCACCCCAGAGGGGCTGTCTCAGGGAGGTGGGAGGAGGCGGCATCAGGTCTCGCTACAGGCCACCTCTGTCCCACCCACGGCATGCTCAGAGAGAGACCTGAGCCTCCTTCAGGACGGGATCCCCGTCTGCCTGGAGGTCCCCTCGCCGCTGTCTAGGCTGCTGACCTCCACTCAGAGAAGTCCGCAGTGAGGACGGAGGATGTGTTAGGGCATCGCCAAGGCCCCACAGGGCCCCTGCGAACAAGCCCTTTTAGCTATTACAAAGGTGTTGCTTCGGATTCAGTTTGTAGCCCAATTTGTTCCTTTTCCACTTAGAATACAGTTTCTAGTCCAAAATAAGAGATTCAAAAATCTACCTATTGGGTACAATGTACACCATTCTGGTGACAGGTACACTGAAAGCTCTGACTGCAGCATGATACGATTCATCCATGTAACAAAAAACACTTATACCCTCTGAACCCATTAAAAAAAAAAAAAATCAATCAAAACCCACAAAATAGGTAATTTTACTTTTCAACAAAACCCTCAAAGTCATCCCTGTTAGTGATTTCTAAAACCAGTTCAGAAACTTGTGCCTGCCACCACGGGGCCAAGACCCAGTCAGGGGTTGACTCTGAGCCTTTACTGAACATACCAAATGCTGGCGCCAAGCAGTACATCATTTCTCCATTCAGAAAATGGATTTTTAAACGGCGCCGTTTTGGGTGAGGCCAGGTCCCTGTTGCCATGGGCAAGGCTGAGAGGGAGGGCAGGGTGACTTCTTTTGTCTTAAACATCTTGCCTGCTTGGGATTCACTTACAGTTACAAAGGGGAAGCCAGATCTGGCCCTGGAGACCCAGTGAGCTGTGCCCCTGCTGTGCCCCTGCCTGGGAGGGACAGAGCGATGAGACGTGGGAAAGCGTGATTCTGAGGAAAAGGTTCTTTGGAGTAAGAAATCGCCCGCTATGGACTGAACTGTGTTCCCCAAATTCCTGCGTCGAAGCCCTAACCCCCATGCGACTGTGTTTGCAGATGGGGCCTTTAAAGAGGTGATTAAGGCTAAACGAGGTCATATGTGTGGCCCTAATCTGATAGGACAGGTGACCTTATAAAAAGGGGCGATTGAGACACAGACACACAGACCGAGAGGCAGCCATGTGAGGGAACAGCGAGAAGGTGGCATCTGTGAGCCAGGCAGAGAGGCCTCAGGAGAAACCAACCCTGCTGACACCTGGATTTTGGACTTCCAGCCTCTGGAACTGAGAGAAGATAAATCCCGGTTGTTTCGGCGCCGGGCCTGGGGTACAGCCCCAGCGGACTGTACGGTCCCCAAGTCAAGCGTTTGAGGAAGAAAGCAGGGTTTGTTTACAAATGGGTTAGAAACCCACTTAATTAAGAACAATTAGGAAATAACTCAGAAAGCATTGTAAACCAGGGGCTGGACACAATCTCTACACAGGTATCCAGCGGGCCGGGGGCAGCCTGCTTACCTCTCAAAATGAAGATCGTAACCACAGGACAGAATCGCCCTCCAGACGCTGCGGATGTCTTGCTTGGCTCGGTCAATAACGAATTTGTGAAATCCTTCCAAGGTCAGGTATTTCTCCTCAGGGACTGACGGAAAGCGTTCAGAGTGTTAGGAATGTGGTAAGAACCGCGCACGACTCCGGCCTCTCTGCACGCTCCGGACACGCCCTCTCTCGCGGCCGCCTCCTCCAACCCCCAACTCCAGGGCCTGTCCTTTCGCTTCTCCACCCACTGCTGACGGGACACGCGGAACCCCACGTGACCAGGTCTCCCAGGCTCAGCCCCACCTCGGCAGGCTGCTCATCACACAGTGCGGTGGCTGCCCCACATCCCTTCTTTCCACGAGTCTCTGAAACATCCCCGACTGACAGCAACTGTCTGGCCAGGAGATTGGCTTTCTCCAACTTCGCTTATGTTCTGCTGCCCGGAGCAGACGCCTAGCTTTAGGCGAGTGCCTTCTAAAAGAAAATTTCCAAGCAGATCCCCAAATCTCTACTTTGCAGTCACAATCATCTGTTCTTCGTCTTGGGTGTGTGGTGTTTCTGGAACTGCCATTTTTACCTCCTTAGGTTCACAGTCCTCAAAGATGGCATCCCAGGGCAGTTAAGTGGCATTGACCAGGGATATTTCGCAGCATCTTTGGAAAATGCCGCCCTGCCTAAACTAAAACCCCAGGGAGCTCAAGGCCATCCCGGTGGGACAACAGCCAGTCCGGAAAAGCAAAGAGGCCTGTCCCCCGCTGCAGCCTGCCCTGCCCTGTCTCCAGGACAGAAGCAGTTCCCCAAGCCCACACCAGGCCCGAGCTGTTCATTCACCTTCTTGCTTTTTGGTGGGTGACTTCTCTGGGTCCTTTTCATCTGGTTTGCTCTTTTCTGGTGACTTTGGCTTCACAGTTGGCTTCTTTTCACTTAAGGCAGTCCTGCTGTAGAACAGAGCATTGCGATTAGAATGCCACACGTCCACACGTCCCCCCGACAGAGGAAACACAGAACCTCACGCGGGCGTTAGTCCGTGGCTATGGTGCAGACATGGCTGGGCTCAAGATCACCTTTGTTCTGAGAAAAGTTTACCAAGCAAATTACAAGGACAAATTGATGCCTTACGATGTGAAAAATCTTACAGATACTCTTTTCAGACATTCTTTCTACGTACTTTATAGCCACACCATCCAACAGGTTGGCCGCAAGTCCAGTGTAGCTCCTTAAGGTTAAATAAAGTTAAATGAAATCACAAATTCAGTTCCTTGTTCGCACCTGCCACATTTCCGGTGCTCTGTGGCCAGATGTGGCTACTGGCCATGGTACCGAACAGCTCAGAGAAACAGCACCGATTTCCATCATCACAGAAAGTTCTATTGGACAGTGCTGATTTAGAAACACCATTTCTATATAATAAATTAATAAAAAGTCATGTTATTTTTCTAGCCATTTAAACAATTTCTCTAGAGACTCCTGCTGGGACTACTTTGCTATCAAAGTTTCTATCGCAACTACTTGAGAGTCCAAAACCTATATCTACAGAAAATTCTTTTAGGTATATGTGCATATCCACCCATGGAATATTACATAGCCATTTAAAAGAAAGGAATGGGGAAGTTTTTTGTATTCATCTGAAATGATCTCCAACTTGTTTATTTTTTTGAGACAGAGTCTCACTCTGTTGCCCGGGCTAGAGTGCCGTGGTGTCAGCCTAGCTCACAGCAACCTCAAACTCCTGGGCTCAAGCGATCCTCCTGCCTCAGCCTCCCGAGTAGCTGGGACTACAGGCGGTTGTCACCACACCTGGCTAATTTTTCTATTTTTAGTAGAGACAGGGTCTCGCTCTTGCTCGGGCTGGTCTCGAACTCCTGAGCTCAAGTGATCCTCCCACCTCAGACTCCCAGAGTGCTAGGATTACAGGCATGAGCCACTGTGCCCGGCCTCATTTCCAAGTTTAGTATGAGATAGAAAAGGCAAGGTATTGACATCGTCTACAGTCTGCAGCATTTGCGTATGTCTATACTTGCTTGTGTATTCAAAGTTCTGGAAGGCTACAGAAGCAACCTTGGCAGCAAGAGGAACTTCAAGGCTTAAGGATGGAGGGAAAAGGAAGTAGCTTTCCACTGCATATGCTTTTGAATCTTGTACCATTTTAGTCATTCAAGATTTAAGAAAATAACATATATACATAAATAAAAGGTTGTGTACTTAAATATTAAAAGTAGTTGTTATGCTTGGGGTAATTTAATTTTTTTCCATTAGGCACGTATACATTTTCTAATCTTCCCACAATAATTATGCATTATTTGTGTGGTTAAAAGCAGCAGGATTTTTAAAAAAATGTGTACATTTTAGGTATTGCTAGAGATGGGGTCTTGTTACGTTTGCCCAGGCTGGCCTCGAACCCCCAGGCTCAAGCGATCCTGCCGCCCTGGCCTCCTGAGTAGCTGGAATTGTAAGCACATGCAACTGCAGCCAGCTAAGCAGTTTCTTAATTCAGACTAGCCTGCTTTCCAGCCTGCATGGTCCAGATGTTGCTGCGCTTATGGATGAAATGACACAGTCAGTGGCCACCCTCGGGCCCCGTCTCCCCCAGCCCGCCGGGCGCGCACCTGACGCTGTTGAGCACGGCCTTGTCCTTGGCGGGCGGCTTGGTGATGGGCCGCTTGGTGCTCACCACCTTCACCGGGTGCTGCTCCTTCCCGGCTTTGCTGTACTTGCTCTTGTCGAACTTGGGCTTGGGCACGCCGTATTTCCTCAGGATCTGCAGAGCGCACAGGCGGGGACGGGTTCTCAGGCCCAACCTACAGGGCACCCAAGGCCCGGCGCAGGCGTGGAGGGGACAGGGCAGCTACCTGGGTGAGCTGGTCCTCCAGCACCTTTTTTGGAGGCCGGACGTTGGTGAAGAAGAGCTGGAGAAGGTTGCCAGGGGTCTGGGAGTTGATCTGCTCTTTGCTGAGATAAATGTCAGAGACTCGGATGGGCTTCGCTGGTGTCAGGCTCAGCGTCTGCTCCGAATGGGCACAGCTCTTAAATATTTCCGTCAGAACCTCTCTGGCCCCGGGCACCAGCTTCTCGCCTGTTCCGGACGGAGGGAGGGCAAAACAACGCTGCCGTGAACACACTAGGGCAGGATGAGCCCTGCAAGCGTTTGATTTATTTTTTATAAACCCTTTATTTGTGAAAGGGGGCCAAGGACACCTAGTGGAGATGGTGAGCTGCCCGCCAAAGCCTGGCCTCCCCTCCTCCGGCACGCGCCTCGGGCACAGGTCAGCCCTCCTTGCTGTAAGGTGCGGCCCTGTGAGTGCGCTCTCCCTGGGGACGTGGCCGCATGGGGGCCGGGGCGTTCTCTGCATTTGCCCCTCCACTGGCTGCCTGGAGAGGGCGGGCCAGGGATGGCGCACTCGGCTTGGCCTGGACCCCCGCGTCTGCAGGACATAAACCCCCACCAGCTGGAGCCGCAGCTCTCTAGGGTCTATTTGTTTCAGCAGCTTGGCCTATCTTAACCTCAATAACATGTACGCGAAGGCCAAGGCCAAAGGAACAGAAGGACAGAGGCCAGCAGAGTACAGGTGTTAAACTAGTTACTGCATTATTAGGAAACATGTTTCAAAAGTGGTACAATGAACAGGTGCAAAAAGAAAATTTTATAAGATACAAGTGCCCACGGGCACCAGAGAAAATACGTATCATTTCTGTCCCCAAACAAGCACTCCAGAAGGCACTCTCGCAAACCCATTTGCACGCTCCTTGGGCTGAGGGCACACAGCCAGCTCATGGCTGCCTTCTCCCGCCTACCCGTTCCCCCATCCCCGCCGCCCAGGGCAGGCCCAGCTGGCTGCAGAGGGGCTGCAGGTGCGTGGAACGGGAGGGCTGAGCCCTAAGAGCTGACTCAGCAGAGCCCCAACTTCACGGAATGTCACGTGCAGATTCCTGTGGCATCATGAGGCAAACATGTATGTCACCTAAAGACCGACACCTTATGCGGAAGGCTTGACTGTAATAGAATCAAACTAAATTCAGATTCCAAGTGTGAAAAGACCAGGAGAGCAACAATCATGGCAGAGGCTTCCTGTAAAGTAGATGCCACACGCCTCAGGGGCAGCTGAGAGCTGAGGGGGCAAAATACATACTGACAGGGCACAGGGCGGGGATGAGGGAGGAGCCACCAAGGCCTTCCCTCAGACCAGGCAAGATTTAAGGCGACACCAAAAATTTCAGTCATTAAGTAATATTTTAATGCAATATTTTAAAAAGTCAAATTTAATGCCACAAAAAAAAGAAAAAAAACTTCTGATGAACAAAATACTATCAGTGCTGAGACAAGCCACACCAGAGCCTGAGGCAGGATAAAGATCAGTGCTTTTCTTCTGTCTTTATTTAGAATTTTAACACTTTGCTAATTATGGGTGTTCTGCATTAACTTTGACTTTTTAAAATCCTGCATTAAAATATTATTTATCAAGTTTTTTGGAACCCCACTGAATTCTGTGCCCAAGACCTCACTCACCTTACCCTGATCCCAGCTCTGAGGGAGAATCTCCACATTTCGTGATTGGGGGTGATGATTTGAAACAGCAAACCCCCTACTGTTACATTTTTGTATTGGAAAACACAAAACAACTTAATAACTCCATTATAAAATTTCAAGCAATATTAAAGATTTAGAAAAAGTGACATGGTTAGAAATTCTGAGAAACATTGATACAAAATAAAAACAATGACACAAAGAACTGTTGTTAATGATAAAAAGAAAAGAGAAAAATTCCTTCTGTTTCCAAAGTGAAGCTTGGGGTGAGCCGTTGGCCCCGGAGCCTTTTGCTAGACTCAGCTCAGTGGGGGCGTCATCAGAGCCCTGGGTCCTGGACAAACACTTGGTATTGTATGAAAGCAGACAGGGTACACCCCACAAAAAAGCCCCAAGGATGACAAGAAGGATGGAAAATAGGACTTTTGTGAAAAAAGAGCTAGAACAGTTTCTTCCCCAAGAACAGTATAAAAGGGTGAGGCATTAGCTGTCCTCAAGCATGTGACCAAATAATTACCAGCAATGTACTTGGTACATTCTAGCTACACAGGACAGAACAAAATAAATGCCCTTGAACTTGAACAAGGGGAAGCCTGACTAGACACCCACAAAAAGACTTGAATGCAGCCCACAGCTGAGCCTGCAGCAGGCCGTGCAAAGCCACTCCTGGGGGTCTCCAGCTGGAGCACAGCAGGCCTGCGGCAGGGGCTGCACTGACGACCCGTAGCTGGGAGAGGGTCCAGAATGTTCTCACTACATCATACGAAGATGCACTGTCTGCAAATAATGAGCCTCTTGTCCCACTGCCCCAACACCCCCTGAATCATTTTCAAAATCTTTAACTCCAAGAATGGCCGCCAAGTTCCTCTTTAATGCTAGATGTTAAAAAGAGGGCAAATTGGGAGAAGGGAAGGATTTCACTCACTTTTTTCTGTGAGTCTAAAACTGCTCCAAAAAAGTCTATATATTAGAAAGCAAATCTATAACCCACCTTTAATTGACTTATCATTGAAATAATCTTCTAGCCCCGGGCTCCCTTGAGTGTCAAACAAACTCTGATTTACTACAGAGACGGTCAGAATCTCTTCCGTTGACATTTCCATCAGTTCGTCTTCACCGTCCAAACTTGACAGACCAATCAAATCGTTATTATTAAATAAACTGGCTCGAATTTTCTCAATTTTGGCTCGGGATCTGATCTGTGTGAACAAAGACAAGGGTCAGGATTGAGTAGAGCGATCAGTCGTTCACATGAATGAACTTTTCCCTTCCCACCCTTCCGCCCGAAACCCTCTGCCCCTCTTGAAGCTGTGAGGGCACGTTCCCCCTCGTGCCAACAATAGTGATTTTTAGGGGAGCAACTCACTGGGAATCTCTGTCACTAAACCTGCCCAGGTCTGTGGCTTTACTCTGATGCCCAGGGAGTAAAGTCATGCCTGGCTGTGAAGTCCGGGAGGAGGAGGCTGATGTATTAAAAGAAGTGATTCTAGAAAAGAAACTGACCACTTGACCCTTGAACTCTCCTGTGAGAGAAAAGCAATGCAAGTTCTTTGCCCGGCACTTTCTCTACGCAGCCAACAAGGGGGAGGAGAGTCTGGACTTTTGAGCCTAGGTTCCGTCATGCAAAGGTTCAGGAAGACACCGGATTTCTAAACAAGGAGGCGCGAGACACACACGGGGTCTTGAAGCAGAACTATGACACGGCAGCACGCTCGCCCTCTGAAACTCTGAGTCACCCGGAACAAACCGGCGTTTTTGTTCTGTTCAGTGAAGTCCCTCCTGCCAACAGCAATACCGAAAACCCCCCAAGGCCACTCCAGAATACACGGATGGGGCCGTGAGTTGGGACGCACTTGGGGAAGCCCGCCCATGAAGGGACGGTCAGCTCCGAGCCCCGCGCCGCCACTCGCAGCAGTGACTGCACTGACTTCACGACACCGGGCTTGACGCCGCTCTCGGGAGGGCGGGGTTATAGATTTGCTCTTCCCAAGGGCTGCCCTGGGAAGCCCCCAAGTGCTCCTGCGTTACCTATTAGGAAATAGCTCTGAAAGGTTTAAAGAGGTTGGAAGATTCAAATTGGTCACGATTTAGTGGCTGTCAGGGCTCGAGAGCTGTTACCTCCACGACTGCAAAGCCTTTGATGGGGCGCGCTGCCAGGGGCTGGCTGTCCAGGGATGTGACCGTGTACATGGAGCCCATGTCCGAAGCCGAGGCCGTCTCTGCGTTGTCCAGGGGCTCCCCCAGGCTGCCGAGGCTGCCCAGGCTGCCGGTGCTACACAGGGAGATGTCCAGGCTCTCCTGGCTGGACACCACGTGGGGCTCCAACAAGCCGGGAGGGATGGGCAGCTCGAGGCCTGAGGGCAGCGGGTCCACGGAGAGGTCGCTGACGGTCTGCGAGATGCCCTGGGAGCTGCAGATGGAGGCCTGGCTGGTGGAGGCAGATGCGCTGACGCTCATGGCGGGCGTCAGGCTGCTGGACGTGCTCACCTCCAGGCTGTCGGTGCCGGGGAAGCCCAGGGTCTTCTCCAGCTCGGCCTTCCCGTCACTGCCCTCGGCCTTGTCTTTGGGCTTCCTGGGGTCTTCCTCCTGCAGCGGAATGTAGATCTCATCTTTGAAGACCCCGCCGTGGGCATTGCAGGCCTTGCGGATGGCGCCTCTGACGATGCCCTCGTCCAGGTGGGTGGGGATCCCCGAGATCACCAGCAAGCGGCTGTGGGCAGTGGGGCCCACCAGCGCCTGGCAGGCGTCGGCGATGGCGTCGCTCGTCACGCCCAGCCCCTGCGGGTCCTTCCTGGTGAGGTGCCGCAGGATGATGAGCAGGGTGAGTGCGCGATGGAACCACAGCATGTCCTCGGGCTTGCTGCCCCCGATGCTGAGCACGGCGGTGTCCGACTCCACCGTGCGCGGGGACTGGCGCTTGCCCGAGGAGGAGGCCTTTTCCCGCTTCATCTTGACTTTTTTCCTCTTGGACAGGAGGCTGGGGCTCTGCGGGGTCTGTCCTGGGGAGGACGAGGAGGAGGAGGATGAGTCACTGAGGTTGGGGGCGGTCGTTGAGGTCACCCCGCTGGCTGTGACACTCATGTTGGTAGGCAGGGTCACTTCGGCCACCGCCAGGCACCCTTCCATGAGCGCGTGAAAGTACGTAGAGAACCTGCCCTGGTCGCTGGCTGCCGCTGCGCCGGAGCCCCCACAGGTGCCGCCCGAGACCCAGCTCTGGGTCTCCTCGTCGTACAGCTTGTGGAGCTCCGACTGCAGGGCCATCAGCATGGCCAGGCAGGGGTTCAGCTGCAGGGCGATGGAGGAGGACAGGCCGGCGGGATGCCGCCTCTGCTCCAGGGCGTGCACCGTGCGCAGGAGCTCCGCCAGGAGGTGGAAAACGAGCTCCTTCACGCAGGCCGCCATGTCCGTGGTCCACAGGAAGTTTCCTGAAGCAGATATAAAATAATAACAGCAATTATTTACACAGCGCTCACTACGCTACCGGCTCCGTTCTAAGCACTGTCATGGAGTCAACCCTGAAAATGACCCCACGCACAGTTGCTGCGTAATTCAACATCACAGATGAAGAAACAGAGGCTCAGAGCTGAAGCAGTGGCCCGAGGTTACCCGAGGGAGAGCCATGGCCTTGAGCGCCACGTCCCACGGCAAGGTGCCAGCCTGCTTCTGCAGCTCAGGCAAAACATGGTGTTTCCTGTCACGAAAGTGAGCTGGTGATGAGTCACCAGAACGTTCCCTAAGGCACAGATGCTCACTACCGGGGCACACGATCCAACTTTACCAAACAGCACAGAAACGCGGACAGCAACACCGTTCCTTTTTAACTCCCTTTAGTCCTGATCTTGCCGACCAAAATCCTTACTTTGGGGCTGGTATATTCTAAACAGAGAGTGGACCAGAGACCCAGAGCCTTTGACAAGGAACAGTATTTGGTTACAGTTTTGTAACAGCATCTATTTATTTTCCTTATATTTATTTTTATGGTTATCTTTTAGTTATGTCAAGGGATATTGATTTTCCATTTAGAGTAGCAATGTAAAGGTTTCCTTAAGAGTAAATTTAAGTTAAAAAAAAAAAAAAGAGAGAAAAATAACTGTAAAAAAAGCTATTAAATAAGTGCTGATAGCACAATTCATGGACGTGGCCAAAACGACACAAAGGTGGCATGAGTGACTGAAGTTCAGGAAACACTGTCTCGAAGCACACGATGGACCCCACGTTTGTGCCAAGGTCCCCTTCGTGGCAGATGTGTATCTTACATTCACACAGTCACGTGACCTGGCACCGAGTGCAAGCAGGGAGAGCTCGTGCTCTGTGAGAAGCCATCAGGGACCACGAACGTCTAAGGCCCTCACCGCTGAGCCAGCTGAGCCCTCGCCCTGCAAGGGGGTGACCTGTAGTCCATGGCACCCAGATGGGTTTAAGTACAGGGAAAAGGTACCTGGAAGGGGAGTCCTGAGGGCCAGCTCAGGCTGAATTACTAAGTGCAGCGTCTACAAATGAGGGGACTAAGCCTCTTGCTCTCAGGAGTGACGCTGTTTGAGAATTCTGGTCGGAAATAAGCTTGTGGTTGTCCTGGAACGTGGGTTCTCAAAGAGCCTTCAGAGAGAACAAGTGCCAATGCCCCCCTGTTCCCTGGGGTCCAGAGCCAGGCCCTGGGATGCTAGAACCGCTCCTGTCGCCTCCTTCCTCCTCCTTTCTTTACCACTTGACATTCACTTAAGAGGACGCCCTTGGAGCGAATTCTCCACCCAAACTGCACATGGTGGCCCACGAGCTGGGACTTGTTCCCTGACAGTGGTTCCCTGCTTACTTCTCCCCGCCACCCCGGGGGGTGTTTTAAATAATTTGACTTAGTTGCCACCAATTACAATTGGAAAATTCACATCAAAATCTGGATTCTTGGCTTTTCTCAAAATAAGAAATAACAGTTCTGGCAGGAGTGAGGCCATATTCCCATGTGGCTGTGAGTGCAGCGGGGGCTCACGGCCGTCCGACAGGGCACACACCCCCTGGGTCACCGAGGTCCCCCCGACTTTCCTCCTCTATTTCTCTCGTTTATGGGATCTGTTTGACCCCTGAGGGCATCTGAGTTTGCAACATTTTTTTCCCTCTGCCATTTTATTATGAAAACATTAAAAAATATAGAAAAGTTGAAGGAATTATACAGTAAATACCCATAAACCCACCACTTAGACTCTACCATTAATACGTTGCTGTATTTGCTGTATTACGCATCCGTTCATCCCTCTATCCCCTCATAAATCCACTTTAGTTTTTCATTATTCCAAAATGGTTTGCAGACAATGGTGTTTTATCCCTAAACATTTAAGCAGGCATATCGTCAATTAAATTTCCACATTTATTTGGAAGGCTGAGGCAGGAGGATTGATTGAGGCCAAGAGTTCAAGACCAGCCTGGGCAAGATAGTGAGACCCTCTCTCTACAAAGAATAAAAAAAATTAGCTGTGTGTAGTGGCGCACGCCTATAGTCCCAGCTACTCGGGAGGCTGAGGTGGGAAGATTGTCTGAGCCTAGGAGTACAAGATTGCAGTGAGCTATGATGACACCACACTCTAGCCTGGGCAACACAGATCCTATCTCTAAAAGAAAAAAAAAATTTTAAAAGAGTGCACTATTTAAATTTTTTTTTTGAGACTCCTGGGCTCAAGCCATCCTCCTGCCTCAGCCTCCCGTGTAGCTGGGACTACAGGCATGCACCACCATGCCCTGCTGAGTTTTCTATGTTTTTTGTAGAGATGGGGTCTCGTTGTGTTGCTCAGGCTGGTCTCCAACTCCTGGCCTCAATGCCTTGGTCTCCCAAAGTGCTAGGATTTACAGGCGTGAGCCACCACACCCAGCCTATTTAAAATTTTTTGAGGTAAATTTGCATATGGTAAAATGCACAATTTCATGAGTTTTGCAACCCTTTTTAACCTCTGAGGAGCTAGGCAGTCACGATGTTGGATTTTGCAACATTATTCACTTCCACACCACCCTTCGCCCACAGAGTTACAATAACGGCATATATTTATGTCTTAAAGTAAAGTATGATAATATTAATTTGATTTTCATGGTTAGTTGCTACCTCTCGAAATCATGAAAATAACCTGAAAAATCACAGATTTGGGCATCTAGGCTACACACCTTAAGATCTACTCCCCAAGCCCACTTCAAATGACAATGATCTGACAGGAGGCTGCAGCTGCCTGGGCCACCTGTGGCCACTCCCTCGGCCACCTAGCAAGCTCCTTCCTCAGGCACCATGACAGCTCCCCACCGCCATCCCGAGGGGAAGCCAGCTCACCTAGCAGCTCCACCACCTGCAGGAGGACAGACGTCGGGATGGTGTCAGGCTCATCTTCGGATTTCCCTTCGCCATCCTCTGATTTCCAGGACAGCAGCTGCTCTGCGAAAGCCATAGCCAGCGGGAACTCCAGGGGCAGAGAGTGTAACACCAGCACGGCTCCGGGAGGTGGAGACACCCCTGGAGGAAGCGCCCGAGAGGAAAGCCCGTGACTGGTCGCACTTGATCCAAATAAGCTCACCAGGACCGGGCAAGTGCACACGGAGAGACGGGGCCACAAAGCCACCCACACATCTGCTCCAGGTGGAGGAAATGCCACTCCCCGACCCTCCAGATAGCAGCTGCAGGGGCAGGAGGAGGAGGAGGAGGCCTCCTTCCAGGGAGTCTACTTACTGGGGTGGCAATGGGACAAAGGGCAGTAATGGGAACGGAGAAGGACAGACCCTCCCTGTTCAGTGAGATA